GAACATTTACAAAACCAAACAGAACCTGTATAATTTAAAATAATCTCTTCCATTCCTCTTACCCTGCCCTCCCACCCCAGGTGGGAGGCTGGGAGGCAATATTATACAAATATCTACAAGATCAGGCAGGTACCTTAAATAAGGACAATGTGCTGAGTGAACTGGAGAGCAAATCTTCTACCTGAAGGGGCAGTGGCAAATCAACCCTAGCTGATTATTACTCTCCATAAGTGAGAGCCCACTATAGCCAGATACTCCAAATTCTAAAGAAAAAACCAAACTCTATTTTATTTATGGGAAACATTCTTTCTTCTCCTACAAGGCTGTCTCAGCTATATTTGGATCCTCTGCAGAAAATTTAGGATCAGTCTACTAAGTTCCAGGAAACCATTTTTTTGGATTTCAATTGGAATTGCATAGAATTTGTACAGAATTGCCATTTTATAATACTAAATTGCTGCATCTGTGACCTCACTGGTGGTCTAGTTTATTTAAGTCTTATTATTTTTACAAATTGCAGTAACATTTTATAGTTTTCTTCATAAGGTTTTGCATAATTAAAAAAATTATTCCAAGGTATAATATAATTTTTTGCTATTGTAAATAATATGTTTAGAAATTACATATTTGTTATTGGTATTTAAGGGGAATACAATTGGGGCACCTGGATGGCTCAGTTGGTTAAGCGTCTGTCCTCTGCTCAGGTCATGATCCCAGACTCTTGGGATCACCCTGCATCCTGCATCAGGCTCCCTGCTTCTCCCTCTCCCTCTGTCTGCCACTCCCCCTGCTTGTGCGCTCTCTCTCTCAAATAAATAAAATCTTAAAAAAAAATAGAGGGCATACAATTGAATTTTGTGTAGTAGCAACAATGCTGACATCTTTTAAAATTTCCAGTGGTTTTTAGAATCATTATGCTTTTCTATGTTGATAGTGGTATTGTCTGAGTAACAAAGGTTTTGCTCTTCCTGTTCAGATCTTACACTTTTTCTTGTCTTGCCTTACTGCACTAGCCAGGACCTCTCATATAACCATCATATAGTGGGCATTTTTGTTTTATTTCTGACTACAAAGAGATCTATTTGAATTTCGAAAAGATTTGACTTGTGGATTGGGTTCTGGCTCCCTCTGAAATTTTAGTAAGAACATCTTGTATCTTAAGGTTTTGTTGGTATATGTGTGGCCATTTGTTCCATCAGTTCCATTTTTCTCAGGTCAAATTTTGGAGATCTAAGATCCTATATTCTCTTTTGGTTATTTTGGCTTATTGATTATCACTGCCAGCAATTTTCCCTATGAGTTGGATAAAAGACTGGACATTTATATATATCTATATATACATATAAATATATATATATATATATACATATAAATATATATATATATATATATATATTAAGATTTTATTTATTTATTTGACAGAGAGAGATCACAAATAGGCAGAGAGGCAGGCAGAGAGAGAAGGAAACAGGCTCCCTGATGAGCAGAGAGCCCGATGCAGGGCTCCATCCCAGGACCCTGAGATCATGACCTGAGCCAAGGGCAGAGGTTTTAACCCACTGAGCCACCCAGGCGCCCCTGGACATTTATATTTATTTCTCAGTGGATTTTTAAAAAATTGTCAGCCATCCTCCTTAGCACTGTTTCAGCAGTCAGACTGGCCTGTTGTGGAGATCAGGGATCAGGAGCTACAGGGACCAGGCAGAATCCCTGTAAACAAATCAGTCCAGATGGGCACTGAGGCCATCTACAGAGCGGAGCTTGACTCATTTTTGGCAAATTATTGGCATAGAAGGATATCAGAATTGGTCAGTTTGGCACCTCAGTCTAGGTTCTTATTGACAGACTTTTGGAATTGCACTTTTAAAGAATTTTATTTAAACAATTTTATTTTATTTTATTTAAACAAGTTTTTTTTATTTTTTTAATTTTTATTTTTTTATTTAAATAAAATATTTAAACAAATTTTTTATTTTATTTGATTTAGACAAATTTTTAAAAAGATTTTATTTATTTGAGAAAGTGAGTGAGAGAGAGAGAAGAAGCTGGGGGGTGGGGGTGGACAGCAGAGCGAGAGGGAGAAGCAGACTCTGCTGAGCAGAGAGCCTGATGTGGGGCTCAATCCCAGGACCTTGGGATCATGACCTGAGCTGAAGGCAAGCACTTAACCGGCTGTGCCACTCAGGCACCCTGCACTTTTTTTTTTTTTTTAAGATTTTATTTATCTTCAGAGAGAGAGAGAGAAAGTAGGCAGGGGGCAGAGGGGGACCGAGAGGAACAAGCCGACTTTGGAGCTAAGGGCGGAGCCAACACAGGGCTCTATCTCATGATAGAGCTAAAACCAAGAGTCAGACACTAAATCGATTGAGCCACCCAGGCACCCTGGATTTTCACTTTTTAAAAAAAGCTAGTTAGGAGATTGTGGAGGAGGCATGATTTGAGATGGATCTTGAAAGAAGCAGATTTTGGAATGCGAGACGAAAAAAATCTGTGGGCCGGAATTTGGCAGGCAGGTCTCTTTGTCCTGCATGGTTGTAGTCTGGGTGTGAGAGGAAAGGTGGGTATGTGTATGTTGGGTGGTGGTAGTAAGAAGTATGATTCCAGATGTACTTTGAAGGTATTGCTGAGACTCGGATGTGGGATGAGAGATGAATCAAAAGATGAATCAAGGGTGACTCCAGGAAGAGAGTTGCCGTTTTAAGTTGGGGGAGAGAGTTGCATGTTAGAGTTGCCTATTAGGCACCCAAGAAGAGATGTTGAGTAGGCATTTGGATGTTTGTGGCTGAAATTCAGTGGAGACACTGGAGATATGAGTATGGGAGGCACCCAGGTAGAGATGGCATCTGAAGTCACAAGGCTGGAAGGGAACTTGAGTGGAGTGTGAGTGGATAGAGGAAAAAAGAGGGAGAAGAGGAAGAACAAGCAATGGAGAAGAGAAGGGGTCAGGAAGCCATTCAAGAGAGTGGTTTCCTGGGCACCTAGTTTACAAAGTGTTTCAAGGAAGGAGTGATCCGCTCTGTCAAATGCTGCAGATAGGCCAAGTAAGATGAGGACGGAGAAGTGAATGTGCTGTTTAGCAAAGTGGAAGACATTGGTGGTGTTGGCAAGGACGGTTTTAATGGAGAGGTAGATAATGAAAGCCTGACTAAAGAGGTGGAAAGGAATGGGCAACAGCAGTCAAACCTCTCTAGGAGTTGTGCTGTAAAGTGAAGCAGAAATGGCAGGACAGCTAGATGGGAAGTTGCCACTTGTAAAATTTTTCACTAAAAAAAATTTTTTTTTAATTAATTAAAAAAAAGATTTTATTTATTTGACAGAGAGAGAGAGAGAGAGAGAGCGAGCACAAGCAGGGGGAACGGCAGACAGAGGGAGAGAGAGAAGCAGGCTCCTGGCTGGGCAGGAAGTCTGATGTGAGATCAGTCCCAGGACCCTGGGATTGTGACCTGAGCAGAAGGCAGACGCTTAACCAACTGAGCCACACAAGCGCCCCTAGTCACTTTTTTTTTAATAGCAGAAATTAAAATATGGTGTTATACCGATGGGAATAATACAGGGAGGGTGATAGAAAACGGGAATTGCAGGGCGGTATCTTAAAAAAAAAACCGAGGAGGGTAGGATTCAGTGTACAGTTGTCGAAATCGGTCTTAATAGGCAGTTTAGGCAGTCACAGAAGGGAGACAAAGTAAATGAGACATGAAAATGTGAGTTTACTGATCCCCACAATTTTCTTAATGAAATCGGAAGCAAAGTCATTAGGCAAGAGTAAGGATGGAGAAGAAAGTGATGGGGTTTGATGAGAAGAGAAATATGACATAATTCTTTGGGATGATGGGTGGGGCCAGCTGAAGGATAGTACTTAAAGCCTAGCTGAGCAGGCAGTGGCGAGCTCCATTTCTCCGTGAGAGATTAGTCCCTCTGGGCGCTCGGTAGTCTGCGTCCGTTTCCTTGGAGACGGAGGCGAGGGACTGGTCTTTCTGGGAAGTTTCAGTGGCCTAGGTTACCACGCAGTCCACGTTGTGACAAGAAGGTCAGAGAAGCCGAATAATAAGTATCGCAAGAGACCAGGGCTCCACGGACTCACTATTCTTCCACTTTACCCAATGGCGCGCGTCTTTCCCAAGTAGGTTTAAGAACCAAAGGGTGGTGGAGTGCGCATGCGTGCCCCCCTCCGCTCCGTCTCGGCCTTGTTCTCTTTTGACCCCGCCCCCTTCCCCGCCCACATCTCCCTAGCCCCGCCTCTCCCTCGCGCTACCGCAGCTCCCACTCGCTCGCTCGGGTTCCTAGTGAACCATGGTCTCTGTGGAGACTCCACGCCTGTTTCACGTTTGCTGCTCACAGTCCCAGGGGTTGGGAATGATGGAAGTTCTTTTCCGCCCCCAACTCTTTCCAGACCCAGCCACTCTGGGATTCGCTCCACAATCTACAACTTCCAGAATCTGGTGAGTTCGGGAGGGCCAGGGAGGAGATGAGGGCTTGCTGACCCTGGGTCTGCAGTCCGCCTGCCCCCATGGCCATGACTGTCCCCGCCGATAGAATCTGGAGACCTGAATTCCAGGCTTACCTGTGTCACACATTGGCTGCAGGACCCACTATTTTCGCACCACCCTATCAGAGCGTGAGGGTGTATTATACTACTTTCTTACTCATCTCTGATCGCTCCTCTGGTTTCCTCTTGGGTCTTTTCCATGCCTTGTGTTTAGTTCTTAGCACCTCACAGCCTGGATGTGCTTAGTAAGTTATGGCTGGCTGATAAAACAAGTGATAGCTCACATTTATGGAGCACTTGCCACATGCTTTACAAATACTGCCTCTTGGAATTCTCACATCAATCTGTGGAGGTAGGTTTTATAATTAGATCTAGTTTACAGATGTGAAAATTGAGGCTTCGATCTCAGAAGTTACTTGCTCAGTGTCACAGATATCTGTAAGGGGCAACGCTGGGATTTTGACCCATTGGGCTGTGTGACTGACTGTGTTATATCTGGTAGGACTATGTTCCATGGCAGCGGTCCAAGCAGAAAACCAAGTCACCTACTCTGCCTCCCATCCTGCAAACCAGAGGCCACCAGAAGAGCAAAACGAAGACTTTGACTAGCGTCCTGCCAGGTGGGCAGAGGCGCTTGAAGGTGGACATGGGAACTGGGACAGGATAGAGTGCATGCCTTTGCCCTTTGGTGACATGAATTATATTAGAGTAGGCTAATTGCTGTTCCAAACAATCCCCAGGTTTCAGGTATTAGTACAGAAGCTTATTTCTCATTTATGTCAAAATACATTTGCAGATCTGCAGGAAGTAATCTTTTCCACATAGTCATTCAGGGATCCAGGCTCCTTCAACCTTGTGGCTGTGACAGTTTGGAAGGCCTTGAATTCCTCTGCTAAATACTTACGCATTCAGCTGGTAGAGAGGGACGAGAGAGAGAGAGAGAGAGAGAGAGAGAGAGAGCGCGAGCAAAAATACGGGTAATTTTGTGGGCAATTTTTTTTTTCAGGGCCTAGACTTGAGGTGACACATATCACTCCCTCTCCTATTCCAGTGGGCGTAACTAGTCATATGACCACCCTTAACCACAAGGGAAGATGGGAAATGTTGCCCTGCTGTGTGTCCAAGAGGAAAAGAGAGGAAAAGAAAACAGGGTTTGGTCCACTTAGGATAATCTCTGCCACATCGTTGCCATGCTATCCAGGGGAGTTCTCAGGCCCTTGACTGAGGCAGACACAGGTTTTCATCTTGACTCTGCCATTTACTATCTTGGAAAAGCCATTCTTCTCTCTGAGCTTTAGTTTTCCCGCTTGTAATATGAGGACCTGACAAGATTGTCACAAGAATTAAATGGAAAGCATTGTTGCTCTCAACCTCTTCAGACCCAACATTCCTTTCAATAACAAATACTTTGTAATATTCCTTTAGTATCTGAAATGAACTTCATAGATAATATAACCTACCTATGTATTTCATTTAAAAAACTTACTATAATGCCCTAAAGTAAAGTAAACAAAAAGGAAAAGGAAAGTTACTTATAGTTAAGTAACGTATATTTCAGTATGTAAGTGCCCGGGATGAGCTCTGCTGGAAGTTATGTCAAAGTAGTCAGAAGCTTACTCACAGATGTGGAGTCATGGTGAACGAAACCATTGCAAACGCAGACTGTCACGTGGTGTTATATCAGGGATTCACATAACTAGAGGGATTTTTTTTTTTAAAGATTTTATTTATTTATTTGACAGACAGAGATCACAAGCAGGCCCAGAGGCAGGCAGAGAGAGAGGGAGAAGCAGGCTCCCTGCCGGAGCAGAGAGCCCGATGCGGGGGTCAATCCCAGGACCCTGAGATCATGACCTGAACCGAAGGCAGAGGCTTTAACCCACTGAGCCACCCAGGCGCCCCAGAGGGTGTTTCAATGAGGTCATGATTTCCAAAGTGGGGCCCATCTCTTGGTAAAGTTCTGAACAAAACAAAGTGCAACCTTCCCTTGATTGTAGCTGCTTTCTTGGAAAATTTAGCATTACTGTAAAATCCTGCAAAATATCCTTTCTGTTTATATGTGAAAGAGAGTCAGGCAGGATCAGATCATTATAAATAAGTTTTTTTTTTTTTCCCAAGATTTCATTTATTTATGACAGACAGAGATCACAAGTAGGCACATAGGCAGGCAGGGGGGGTGGGGGAAGCAGGCTCCCTGCTGAGCAGAGAGCTCGATGGGCGGCTTGATCCCAGGACCCCAAGATCATGACCCGAGCTGAAGGCAGAGGCTTAACCCACTGAGCCACTTAGGCGCCCCATAAATAATTTTTTTTTTACCTACATCATTATCTGTGAGGGCTTTGGAAAGTCATGCAGGACATAGGAGAATTCTGTGTTCCATGGGGCTGTCCTGTTCTGGGGGATATCTAATGTCCCTGACCCTCACCACCAGATGCCTGTTGGGACCCCCAATATTTGAGAGAACCACAAATCCTCCATGCTAATGTATCTAAAACACCCCTGTCAAGAGTCTTTGATGTAAAGTGCTGAGCACAAGGCCCGGTGGTAGTGACAGAATTTTTGTCTTTGGCCCTAGACCCTATTCACACAGCATCTACAAGGAAACTCTTTCCTTTCCTTCATGGGGAGGCAGTGAGGTATGTAACAGATACAACCATGGTAAGAACAAGAGCACTTAACATATACCACGCCCTTAGATACTGTTCTCAGCACTTGACCCGTATCGCTTTATTTACTCTTCTCAACAACCCTGTGAGGTGGATGCTGTTATTACCACCTCCTCTTAGAGATGAAACCTGGGCAGGTGTGACTTCAGTGGTTACATGGGTAGGTAGGGGCAGAGCCAGGCTGTGACATTTGGCAGTTTGGCTCCAAGAGGCACAGACTTTTTTTTTTTTTTAAAGATTTTATTTATTTATTTGACAAACAGAGATCACAAGTAGGCAGAGAGTCAGGCGGGGTGGGGGGGAGCAGGTTCCCTGCTGAGCAGAGAGCTGGATGCAGGGCTCTATTCCAGGACTCTCAGACCATGACCTGAGCCGAAGGCAGGTGCCTTTTTTTTTTTTTTTTTTTTAAAGAGTCAGGAGAGAGGCAGAAAGAGCGAGCCTGAGCATGAGCTGTGGGGGAGGGGCAGAGGGAGAGGGAAAAGCAGACTCCCCACTGAGCAGGAAGCTGATCCAGCGCTAGGATCCCAGGACCCTGGAACATGACCTGAGCCGAAGGCAGATGCTTAATTGACTGAGCCACCCAGGTGCCCTGGGAGAGAGAGAATCTTAAGTGGTTTCCACGCCCAGCATGGAGGTTGACAGGGGGCTCCATCTCACAACCCCGAGATCACGACCTGGGCCGAAATCAGGAGTCAGACACTTAACAAATTGAGCCACCCAGACACTCCTCCAGAATGCACAATCTTTTTATTTTTATTTTATTTTTAATTTTTTTGAGAAAGAGAGTGAGATAGCATGAGGGGTTGGGAGCAAAGGGAGAGGGAGAGAGAGAATCTTAATCAAGCTCCATGCTCAGCATGGAGCCTGATGCAGGGTCTGATCCCATGACACCAGACCATGACCTGAGCCAAAATCAAGAGTCAGATGCTCACCCGACTGAGCCACCCAGGTGCCCCTCCAGGATGCACAGTTTTAACCATGTATTAGTGGGGAGAGTATGGGCGCTGGAGAAACATGGACCTGAGTTGGTATTCCAGTTTCCCTTCTTGCTATCCTATCGAGGTTGCTTGTCACAGCCCCAGTCTGCAAGGATTCCTGCCTTTATACAAGTGAAAGCATCTGTGTAAATTATAATGATGAAAAGAGCTACTGCTTGCTCAGGACCCATGTTGTGTTGTGGAGGCATCATTCTTTCCTTCATTCATTCAGCAGCATCCGTTTGCTGAGCACCCATGTGCCCAGCAATGGGCTGAATGTTGTTGACTCATAGTAAAGGAGACAGATTGGGTTTCTAGCTGTGTAGAGTTAATGGTCCCAACCTCAAACTGTAACTACACAAAACTTTAAAAACACTTGAGACAGATGGATAGAAGGAGGTCATCATTTCATTCATTCCGTATGACCTGGGAGATGATCTCATCACCATTTTACAGATGAAGAAACTGAAGCTTAGGTCGGTAACATGTTTTATGCAAAGTCATGGCCTTGAGGGCAGCTTTTGTGTATTAACAAAGGTAAATCAACTGATTCCACCAAGATGGGGTAGCCCCATTCCTTCTTGGTCCTCCCTTTTACAACTAAAAAAAGCCCTGACTGAACACAGAGAATGTAGAGGACTCTGAAGACTGGCCTTCATGCTACATCTCAAGAGGGGACTGTCTGAAATAGGATCCTGAGTATTATTTAGAACATCAAGGATACAGTAGAAATCACTTGTCATACCAAGAATAAGGAAAATCACAACATGAGTGAGAAAAGACAGACACCAACATCAAGATGAATCAGGTAGAATGATTTGACTGTTTTTATTTGCAGATGACACGCCCGTCTAGTAGAGAATCTTTAAAAATCTACTAAATTTAAGAGAAACTGGAATTAATAAGTGAGTTCATCAAGGTTGCAGAATACAAGTATACAAAAATCAATCACATTTTAAAAACTTACTTATTTAGAGAGCGTGAATGCAAGCTGGGGGAGGAGCAGAGGGAGAGGGAGAGAGAGAATCACAAGCAGGCTTCATGCACCCATCATGGAGCCCCATGCAGGGCTTGATCTCATGACTCTGAGATCATGACCTGAGCCAGAACCAAGAGTCAGATGCTTAACCAACTGAGCCACCCAGGTGCCCCAATCACATTTCTATGTACTAACAATGATTAAATTTAAAATTAAAAATGTATCTATTATCTAAAGAAATGAAATATTTTTAAAAGATTTTATTTGTTGGGGTGCCTGGGTGGCTCAGTCGTTACGTGTCTGCCTTCAGCTCAGTGCATGATCCCAGGGTCCTGGGATTGAGCCCCGCATCAGACTCCCTGCTTGGTGGAAGCCTGCTTCTCTCTCTCTCACTCCCCCGCTTGTGTTCCTTCTCTCGCTGTGTCTCTGTCAAATAAATAAATAAAATCTTAAAAAAAAAAAAAAAGATTTTGTTTTTTTCAAGTAACCTCCACACCCAATGTGGGGCTCAAACTCACAACCCTGAGATCGAGAGTTGTATACTCTGCCGACTGAGCCAGCCGGGTGCCCCAGGAAATGAAATATTTAGATTTAAACTTAAAGCTACTACTCTATGCTGAGAATTACATAATGTTAATGAAAGAAATCAAAGAAGACCTAAATAAAAGGAGAGACAAACTATGTTTATGATTAGAACATTCAGTATAGTAAAGATGACAGTTCTCCCCAATTTGATTTATATGTTTGATGTAATTCCTGTCAAAATCCCAGCATGGTGTTTTGTAAATGGATAGGTTTATTCTAAAATTTATATAGAAAAGCAAGGCCCTGGAATAGATGAACTGTTTTGAAAAAGAAAAATAATGTGGGAAGAATCACTTTACCTGATACTAAAGCATATTATTAAAGCCAAAGTATTCAAGATAGCATAATATTGGCAGAGAGATACACGCATAGATCAATGGGGCAGGCTAGAGAAACCAGAAATAGAGCCACACAAGTATGCCCAGCTGATTTGGACAAGGGTGTGAAAACAGGCCAGCAGAAGAAAGGAAAGCCTTTTCCACAAATGGTGCTGGAGCACCATTTCTTAGACATCCACAGACCAGAAAAAGAACCTTGACTTAAGTTCAAATATAAATGTAAAATGAAATAAAGATTAAACGTTAAATGCCAAACTGGAAAACTTTTAGAGGAAAACAAAGGAGAAAATTATATTTGGGACCCATGGCCCCATGAAGAGCCCTTAGACTTTCTACCAATAGCTTGATCCATAAAATAAAAATGAAATAAATGGATAAGTTGGATGTCATCAAAATTAAACACTTATTCTGTGAAAGACTCTTAAGAGGATGAAAAGACAAGCTATAGACTTGGAGAAAATATTTGCAAGTCACCTCTGACAAAGGACTGCTATGCGGAACATATGGAGAACTCTCAAAACTCAACGATTTCTAAGGATTGAATTGAAAAGCAATTCAGTTAGGAAATGGGCAAAAGAGGAGCCACCTGGGTGTCTCAGTTGGTTAAGGGTCCTGCTCTTGATTTGGGCTCAGGTCATGATCTCAGGGTAATGGGATGGAGTCCAATGTCAGGCTCCATGCTCAGTGGTGGGCTGGCTGGGGATTCTCTCTCTCCCTCTCCCTCTCCCCCTCCCTCCCACTCACTCACTCACGCCTGTTCTCTCTCTGAAATAAATAAATAAATCTTAAAAAAAAGAAAAAAAGAAAATGGGCAAAAGATATGAAGGGACGTTTCACTGAAGAGGATCTCCAGATGGTAAATAAGCACACGAAAAGATACTCAACATCATTATCCATTAGGGATATGCAAATTAAGCCATAATGTGTTTTCACTACACCTATCAGAATGGCTAAAATGAAAAATGGTGATAACTCCAAATGCTGGCAAAGAGGAGAAACTGGATCATGCATGCATTGCTGGTGGGAATGTAAAATAGTGTAACTGCTCTGGGAAAAAGTATGACAGTTTTTCTTTTTTTTTCAGAGAGAGAGAGAGAGAGAGCATGAGGGTTGAGGGGAATGGGCGGAGGGAGAGGGAGAGAGAGCATCCAAAACTGACTCTAACTCGGGGCCCTGACACAGGGCTTGATCTCATGACTCTGAGATCATGACCTGAGCTAAAATCAGGAGTCAGACACTTAACTGACTGAGCCACCCAGGTGCCACCATATGACAGTTTCTAATGAAACTAACATGCAATTCTCCTCATGCTGCAACACTTGCACTCTTGGGCATCTATTCCAGTGAAATAAAAACTTCTGGCCACACAAAAACCATTGCATGAATGCTTCGTAGCAGCCTTATTCATAATACTCCCAAACTGGAAGCAATCCATACTATGGAATACCATCCATTAATTAAAAGAAAGACCTATTGATACAGTCAATAGCTTGGATGAATCTACAGAATTTTGCTGAGCGAGAAAAACCAATCTCGGAAGTTATATACTCTATGATTCCATGTATACAGCATTCCAGGAATGACAAAATTCCAGAAATGGAGAGTAGATTAGTGATTGCCAGGGGTTCCGGACAAAGGTGGGCGGAGCATGGTCAGGGGAGGGAAGAAAATAAACGGCAGCATGAGGGACACTTGGGATAATGGAAATGTTCTATATCTTGTCCGTCTCGATGTCAGTATCATGGTTCTGATATTGTAGTTAGTTTTGCAAAATGCTACCGTTCAGAGACTGGGTTAAAGACATATAGGATTTCTCTGTAGTCTTTCTTTAAAAGAAAATTTTTTTTTTAATTTAAATTCTAGTTAGTTAACGTACAGCGCAATAATGATTTCAGGAATAGAATTCAGTGATTCAACTCTGTATTATTTCTTAAAACTGCATGTACTTGAACTTATCCCAAAATAATAAGTTTAATTAAAAAAAAGATAAATCAGGGGTGCCTGGATGGCTCAGTGGGTTAAAGCCTCTGCCTTCGGCTCAGGTCATGATCCCATGGTCCTGGGATTGAGCCCCACATCGGGCTCTCAGCTCAGCAGGGGGCCTGCTTCCTCCTCTCTCTTTCTGCCTGCCTCTCTGCCTACCTGTGATCTCTGTCAAATAAATAAATAAAATCTTAAAAAAAAAAAGATAAATCAGGGTTACTACCACTAATGAAAATAGTCATTATTAAAGCTACAAATCTCCCTAAGAATTCAAGTTCAATTTAATAATCTTATAATTTTTATGAACACTTCTAAGGGGGATTTTGGAACTTCGTTAATTAGGTTCCCCCAATCCTCTTAAGCCCCATTTTAAAATTTAATATATTCATTTTTCATTTTCAAATAGTTCACTTGTCTGGTTAACAAAGACCATTGAGCATTTGATAATTCTCGTAATCTAATAAATAAACATCAAGACATGGGTAATCTATGTTCTCTTAAAACTTTTGGTAACCTATACACATTTAATAAAAATGTCTTAAACCTTAAGACAAATCTAAATCAAAATCTCATTTAAATTAGAACCACAAGATTATCCTATTAATCATTCCGTATTTTAAACAATGCAATTAAATACCCGACATATACAGATAATTCACAACTGTAACAAAAGGTTATTTTAATTTGCTTCATCACTTCAATAGTTAATAGTAAAATTTTCCAGGGTTTGCTGTATTGATTCATTAGAGAAATCCTATTTTCTGAGAAGTACTGTGTTGCCCTTGGAGGGGGGTATTTTGGTGGGCATCGAGAATGTGGCCTCAGCATTCAAGATGATTTGGGTGATTTGTCTCAGGCTGATGCCTGAGAGGAATCGGGGGTTCTGAGAACATGCCCCCCAGTGCCTTATGCTAATCGGAACTATTTCTATACGGTCTTTATCTGGCGGGACCACGGGTTTTATAGGTGTTTCAGTCAGGTGGGAATTTTTCACAGCTCTTGTACCTTTGTGCGGGGCTGTGGTCCTGATGCCAAGCCTCAGGTCATCAGTAATGACAGCGACAGCTAGGAATGCGTATTCCTCACTGAGTCTGTGTTGGGCACTATTCCGAACATTTGAAGGTATAGTGACATCTTATTTAATCTTCGGGACAGCCCTGTGAGACAGGTGTGATGATGACTCCTATTTTATAGGTGGGAAACACTGAGGGACAGAGAGGTCAGGCTACCAACCCAAGCTCACATGGCCAGTAGAAAGTGGAGCTTGCATTCGAACCCAGCCTGTCTGGCTCATTAGTTCTTTTTTTTTTTTTTTTTTTTAAGATTTTATTTATTTATTTGACAGAGAGAGATCACAAGTAGGCAGAGAGGCAGGCAGAGAGAGAGGAGGAAGCAGGCTCCCTGCTGAGCAGAGAGCCCAATGCGGGGCTCGATCCCAGGACCCTGGGATCATGACCCGAGCCAAAGGCAGAGGCTTTAACCTGCTGAGCTACCCAGGCGCCCTGCCTCATTAGTTCTTGCCCTTAACCTCTGCTGCATCTGACCTTGCTACCTGCCAGGTTGGTGGGAGAGACTGTGGGCACCTGGCCAGCTTCTGTTGCTTCCCCTCTCCTCCCCTCTGTCCATCCCCATAGCCATGTGGAAGTCCCCTGTGCAGAATGGGGCCTGGGAGCTGTTTGACAGATGTGAGTCCCATGCTCTGCCTCACTGTCACATATTAAAAGGTCAAGAGTGGGCGGGGCTGGTGCCCAGGGCCATCTCCTAGATGGTGCCTTCCCTGGGACCTGCCCCCTGGCCTGCCTGTACCCTCACTCCCTCTCTGCTCTTTCCCATGCCCTAGGGTTGCATTCCAAGCCCACCGCGTCTATGACAAGCCAGCTGAGGAATCCACAAGAAAAGCACAGAGGAAGGTTGGACTCCGGGAAGACACAGAAGAAAATGCGACTTTTGAGGGTATGAGCAGCCTCCCCATAGGCATTGGAGCCCGTGGTAGGGACAGAGGGTCAGGGGGAAGGTGATTGCAAACACACACAGGCCATTTTGCGGTGCCGCACTTGACTCATTTCCTTTTCAGCAGTGCCATGGGCATGCTTATCATCACCCCCATTTTACAGATGGGAAACTGAGGTGCAGGGAGATCACGGACTTGTACCAGGCCGCATGGCTAGAAAAATGGCAGTGCCAGGGATCAAAGCCGGTTAAGCAAGGTGTTTGCCTTTGTATTGAAGACTAGGAAGATGATCAGAATCGCTCTTCTGTTTTGCTGCATTAGGAACACAGTCTGGTGGCTTGCTCGTTTAAACATTTCCAATAAATTAACCTTTCATGGAATACAGCGCAGCTCAGCACAGCTCAGAAGCTCACTATTACATTTTTCCCATCATCTGATACAGCTTGAGATAATTAGTGTTCTCACCATCTATTGCTTTTTTATGGCTTCTGAACAATGTTTTAAAGTATTTGAAATGACTAAAAGAGGAGGAGTCTATTGTGTCCTTAGCAGAAAGTAGAATACTAAATACTATAAATGCTACAAAATACTGGCAAAGAATTCGTACTTTCTTCAAGAAGGTTTTTAAGAGCTCAGTGAACAATGACTACTATATAAAGAAATAGGGAAGAATATATTTGCTTTGAAACCTTTTCTTCCCTTTAACCTTTAATTTTGCAGAATGGTTCAGAGGCAGCCCAGTGTTCTTAAAGGAGGAAGTCCTATTTCTGGTGTTATTTTTATCCTGACTTTAGAACTTGGACAATTTGGCTCTGAAGCCTGGGCTCCCAACCAGTTCCTAATGTTGTCTCTTGTGATTATTCATTCATTTAATTGATTTATTGAATGTCTACTATGTGCCAGGCCCTCGCACATAGTATCTAAGTGTGGAGATTCACCAGTGATATGGCCTCTGACCTTAGGGAGCTCACATTCGACTTTGAGAGACAGACAATAAACAAGACAAATAAGTATATAACATGTGCCACGAAATGAAGAATGTAAAGCAATGTAGAGCAATGAAGTATAAAGGTAAGGTCAGGAAGAGTGGCCGTGACCATCTGAGACAGAGTGGTCAGAGAGGCTGCTTAAATGGTGACATCTGAGGAAAGAATGTTCCAGACATAGGAACCGCAAGTACAAAGGTCCTGAGGTTGATGTGGCTAGAGCTGGCGATGAAGGAAAACCAGTGGGTGTGAGGGTATGGGTGATGACTTATTTGCAACTCTGTAGTCCATGATTAGGCTTTGTGTTTCTATGCTGAGCAAGACAGGAAGACCCTGGAGGATTCTGAGTAGAGCAGAGACATGATATGACCTAAGTTTTCACAGGAGTCCTTGGGCTGCTGCTGCTGCTATGTGGAGAATGGACCATGGAGACAAGGGGGAAACAAGAAGGGAGCAGAAATTACTCTGTTGATTTGCTCTCAGAAACGGAACAGGATCCTGACTCTGCCCCTCAATCTCCAGACAGTTAATTTGTTCAGTCTACAACTCTTGAGAGAGTGCCTCCTATGTGCCGGGCACCATGCCAGGTATTGGGGACACAGCTGTGAACATGGCACTCAGAATCTGTGTGCTTATGGAGCTTACACTATAATGGGGAGATGTATAATAAATGAATTTAAAAAACCCAAAGAATAGTTTATAGTCATCAGTTTATTCAGCCCATACTTAGGGAGCTCCAGGCACCATCCTATGTGCTGTGTCCTACAGCTGTGATGGAACAGCCAGTTACCACCCCCCCGCCCCCGGCTGTGCCTTTTGAGTGGGAGAGACAGTTACAAAATAAGAAAAATAAGAAAATAAGATAATAAGAAAAACATATAATCCCAACTGGGGTTAAGGGGCAGGAAGGAAACAAAGTAGGGTTTCTGTACTAAATCTTGTGCTCAGGGATGATCCATTTCTAGAGCAGAGGTCATTAATTATATAGCTTCTCCAAATCCCCTGGGAATGGGGTCTGTGCTAAGGATACACATTCATTTTCTTTTCTTTCTTTTTTTTTTTTTTAAGATTTTATTTATTTATTTGACAGACACAGTGAGAGAGGGAACACAAGCAGGGGGGAGTGGGAGAGGGAGAAACAGGCTTCCTATGGAGCAGGGAGCCTGATGGGGGGCTCCATCCCAGGACCCCCGGATCATGACCTGAGCTGAAGGCAGACGCTTAATGACTGAGCCACCGAGGCACACCAAGGATACTCATTCCTGATGCCAGCCCCCGCAATGTTTGCTGGGTGGGCTTCTGTGAAATGGGGCTGAGATTGGTGCCAAGTGAGGTCGTGCTTGTGACCTGCTGAGCAGAGTGTCAGGCCCATCCATAATAAACAGTCTGAATGTTTGCAGGGTTACTCATTATTATATGAGGAATGCGGGATTTGGGGGCCAGGAAAGGGTAGCTTCTCATGAAGGACAGAGAAACAAGGAAGAACAGGAATAAGACAGAGAGTGCAAAGGTGCAGCAGACCTGGAGACCTAGAGCCTGTGGACACGGATATCATCAGCTCCACTTCCTGTAACACCCTGAGGGTGCCAGGCGCAGCCACTTGGTGTCTTGACTGTGAACATTATCTCATTTGTTTTTCCCAGCAGCGCTCCGAAGTGAGTGCTAGTTTCTTAACCTTTCGAATGAGTACAGCAGGGACGCCTGGGTGGCTCATTGGGTTAATAAGCACCTGCCTTCAGCTCAGCTCATGATTTCAGGGTCCTGGGATTGAGTCCTGCTCTGGCCCCTTGCTCAGCGGGGAGCCTGCTTCTCTCTCTGCCTGTTGCTCTCCCTACTTTTGCGTGCTCTCTCTCTATAAATACACTCTTAAAAAAAAAAAAAAATAGAATGAGGATAGCAGGGTTCTGGGGGGTGGTTAACTCTTTTGCCCATGTTTCCTGAGGGATTAAGTGGCAGAATTGGTGTTTGAACCGAGTGGGTCCAGACCTAACATCCAAATCTACGTACACTACAAGGCTCAACCATGCCTTGTGCTTTGAGGCTGCTCACTTCCTTCTCTTGGTGTGGTGGCGAGCCAGAAATCGGGAGTCAAAGAGTCCAGCTTCCCAGTTCCGGTGCCATGACCTTCTGGCTGTGTGACTTTAGGCAAGTCACTTAACCTATCTGAGCCTCCTTTTATCAGTAAAATAAGAGTCAGTAAACAGGGCCTTTGAATGAACCAATATCACCTTCTGAGTGCCCAGTGAAGCCCAGTGCCCAACACATAGTTGTTATTATTGTAGCTTTTGTGTACCTGCTGGAGGTGATCTCAGCAAACCCCTTAGGCTTTCAGCGCCTCCTTGTTTCTGCGGGGGAAATGTGGGCAATGAGAGAGTGAGTACTCATTTAGCTCAGCCGTCTGATGAACATCGGTAGCGACTATCATCCACTTGGCTTCCCCGCTTTTCCAGACCTGGCCCATCACTTCCGCCCCTTTCTTACCTACCTGAGGTGTTTTCGATTTTTATTACTACTGTTACTATTATATTTTATTGATTCTAAGAAGCCATTGGTAATAAGGTGCAGCTTTATCTTATTTCCCCACGAACAAATTTTGTCAGATCGTGACATGCCACTCCTTGTAAGAAGCGTCCACCTCTGAGATGTAAAAATCAGGGAAAACGGGCGTTTCAGAATGGATGAAAGAGTTGGTGGGGGCGCGGACTTTGTCCCGCAGACAATGGGGCCGCATTTACCAGTCGAGACCACAAGGGGGCGGGCGTGCGGCGGGAGGGAAGTGGTCCCTAGGCTCCGGGAGGCTCCGGCCGCCACGCGCAGCACCGCCTCCCATCCTTGCCCTCCCCTCCGCCTGCAGGCGTTGCTCAGGAACAGGCGAACCACGCTGCAGGAGCTCTCCAGCCATGAGGTCTTTCTCACCAAGCTCAACCTGGAGCTGATCAAGGACATCCAGGACATGGAAGACAGCTCGGCCCTGAAAGTGCGCACGATGCTGCAGGAGCAGGACATCCTCCAAGTGAGGTCCCACCCCTACCTTCCCCAGCCTTGGCCTCCGCCCCATACACCTCGGTCCTGCGCGCGGCGCCGCCCCCTTGGGCCCTCGGGCGCCCTCTCCTGGCCTCTCCAGGCCTGTTGCACAAGCTACTTCCTCTGGAAGATGAATCTCTCCCACTCTTCGCCCCACCTAGCTGGGCTTTGGAACCAGACCAAGATGGGGGTTCTCATTCCAACGCTAGTATTTATTAGCTGGGAGACTTCGAGTTAACCTCTGAGCTCTGTAAAATAGAGCACAAAGCACCTACCCTAAAGGGGGTGTTGTACTTGGCACACAACAGGTGTAGCTACGCCAACCACTCCCATCCCTACTCACACAGGGTTGTACATATCCATATAATCCTTACCACAACCCCGTGGGGTGAGCATTATTATCTTTATTTTACATAGGAAAAAATGGAAACAGAGGGGTCGGGTGATTTACTCAAGGTCACCTTCAAGCTCACTCACCTAGCAAGGGTCGGCACTTGACTTGAACACAGCACACCTGGCACCAGGATCTGGCTTCCTTCCCGCGAGCTGTGATTGTCACCCTCAGCCATTGGTGGTGCTTATGGTCTGGGCCGGGGGAGCAACTTTTTCGAGAACCCGGGTGGCATCCTCTGCCTCCTCTGGGAGAGGCTTGGGAAAGCTGCTGGAAGAGAGCGCAAAGTTCACAGGGGACCCAGGAGCTTGGGCTGGAGGAGAGGTGGAGGAAATGGTCTCATGGAGCAGTAATGCCCTCTGGCTGCGGTCTGCCCAGGGAGAAGAGGGACTGAGCTCACCAGAGCCTGGGAGATGAAGAGAAAACTCAGTGTTGGGGACTTAGTTTGCTCAGGTGGCCTTACCAAAGCACCAGAGACCAGGTGGCTTACACAGAGAAATTTCTCAGTTCTGGATGCCAGAAGTCCAAGATCGAGGCACTGGCAAGTCCGAGATCAATGTCCAGTAAGGAGGCCTCTGTCCTTGGGGATACAGATAGCTGCCTTCTCTTTGGGTCCTCACGTGGCCTTTTCTCTGCGCTCACATGGAGAGGCTCTGGAGTCTCTTCCTCTTTTTATAAGTACACCGCTCTTAATGGATTCTGCACCCTTTAGACCTCATTTAACCTTTTACCTCCTTAAAGGCCCTGTCTGCACACGCAGCCCTATTGGGGGTTAGGGCTTCAACATATGAGTTTGGGGGGTACACAGTTCAGTCTATCACACAGGCCAAGGACTGCAGAGTCATTCAGCCCAAGGGAACTTAGAATATTCTCCAAATTTAGATAAAGTCATTGTTGATCTTCTGGCATTGATCCATTAGTATATTTTTTGTTCATCCTGAGTGCTCCCTGTGGGCTCTTGGGAAACAGGGATCAGTGGGACATGTTGTCTACATCAAGCTGTCATTCTAGTGGGGTCCAGGCAGTTAGAAAGCCATTTGTGTACTGTCGTGGGGACAGGGGTTCTGGGGAGCTGAGAGAGGCCTCTAACCCAGACATGGGAGGTCAGGAAGGCTTCCTGAAGAAGGTGATGCTTATGTTGAAACCTGCAGAAGTAGGTGTTACCTGGTAGAGAGCAAGAAAGTGTTCAAGGCAGAGGAACTGGGTGCAGAAGGCCTGTGGAGAGAGGGGTCGTGGCCAACTCAAGGGGCCACATGTTGGCCTAGGCCAGCGCAGGCAGGGCCTTGTCAGCCAAGGTTACGAGTTCAGACCGTATTTATAGGGCAGAGGGGAGCCCCTGGAGGGTTTTAAATAGGAGAGGGATGAGGTCAGCTTTTTAAAATTTTTTTTTTTTTTATTTTTAAAGAAAGATCATCCTGACTGCGGATGGAGAAAGATCAAAGGAGGACCAGTTAGGGGTAGCTGTGGTACTATTTGAGGCAGGAGATGAAGAGAACTTGAATAAGACAGTGGCAGTGGGGGTGGAGAGAAGGACATGGTTGTGAGGGCTGTTGGGGGTTAAATCCATTGCGCTTGGTGACATTTTGAAGGAGGATGGAGTGGGGACCACTGCGTGGGTTTGGGCTGGTGCCTGGGTGTGCGGTAGAGCCTGGGGCGGATGGTAGGAGAGGGCCCAGTTTGGAGGGGCTGGGCTGGCCTCCGATCAGGTTGCTGGATCTGGGACTGGGTTTGGATCTGGGGACTCCCTGGAGGAAATGCGGAGTCCCCTGAGGGGGGACCAGGCTTCGGTAGCGCCAGAAGAGGTGGTGGGGCGAGCTGACCCTCCACTCCCACAGACTACTGTGGACATCTTGGAGTACTCGAACAAGAAGAAGCTGCAGCAGCTCAAGTGTGAACTTAAGGAGTGGGAGGAGAAGGAGGAGTCCAAGTTGAAGTGTAAGTATCCCTGGCATGAATTCCTTGATCCTCTCCCTGGCTTTGGGGAGGTCATCAGGGCCTTCATCTTGCACCTACCTTTTGGAAGACAGTAGACCCAGCATCCCCCCCTCTTAGGCACATGGAATTGCTAAGATGCAGAGCTAACAGCTTACTTCTGGAGCATTGAGCCCTGAGAACTTCAGGCCCCCCAGGGGTTCGTATGTACGGGCACACTCTCAGTCATGGCAACTACCCGGACTGTTCGCCCATTTTACAGATGAGGAAGCTGAAGCTAAAAGAAGTACGGTAGCATGGGGCGCCTGGGTGGCTCAGTGGGTTAAGCCGCTGCCTTCGGCTCAGGTCATGATCTCGGGGTCCTGGGATCGAGTCCCGCATCGGGCTCTCTGCTTGGCGGGGAGCCTGCTTCCCTCTCTCTCTCTCTCTCTGCCTGCCTCTCTGTCTACTTGTGATCTCTCTCTGTCAAATAAATAAATTAAAAAAAAAAAAAAAAGAAGTACGGTAGCATGCCGTAGATCGTAACAGCTGCGAGCCAGGATCCAGCCCCAGCCTGCCTCTGCTTCCTGCCATCTCTCTGGGAGTCAGTGGCGCAGCCAGGTCCCAGGTCTCTGGCTTCCATAGCGCTGACCTTGAGCTTGAGCTTGTGCTTTCTTTCTGGAGCAGACTGGGAGCCCTCTGGCGAGGGTGGTGTGTCAGCCAACCTCAGACCCTGGGGCCACTCCCTTGGAAGGCATCAGTACAGACATGGTCTGTTTTTTTTTTTTTTTTTTTTTTTTT